GTCACTATGAGTAGGAACCGACTCCACGGCACATAACCACCATGTGTTACAGTGTACAATTAATTGCTCCTAAGGGTTTTCTTGGTTGCAATCTTTGTGGAGGCTGGTCTCCAAACCTTTCGGTTGTTAAGTGACTTCGAGTCGGCTCTGACTCATAGCTGTCCCGTACAGGGTTTCTGAGGAGCGGCTGGTGAATTTGAACCACCAGCCTTGCAGTTCAAAACGAACTTGCGGTCCAGTGCATTATCCCACAGCACCACACCAGGACATCCGTGGTCCCAATTTAAAAACGGAACTGACAATTTTTGAAGTTAGCAACCTATGATAATTGCTTGTGCGACAGCTGGTCCCCTCATCCTAGTTAGGAGGCCTCATTTCTATACAAAAAACTGGTCTTCTCTGTTTCATTCAACTTGTGGCTGTTTTAAAGCCACGGGGGGGGGCTGGACACCATAGGCATGTATGGCTGGTGCCCTGCAGACCAAGAAAGGTTAATTCTCTACAGCCAGAGTTTACATTGGGATAGTTGCTGAGATGACCAGGGCTCAGTGAAAATCTGGTAAAAGAAATCGGAAATAGAATGGGCATGTCTTTGATTTTCATTCTTCAGAAAGGGTACAGGGAAGAACCAGGCGACACACCCCCTCTTTCCTGCTAGTCTTTTGCCGCCCTCCCAGTTCAAAGAATGGCTTGAGTTTTGCCCCAGTATACTTTTTAAGTGAATAAAGGCAAAACTTGAATGGATAACCAGAAGCAAAGTCCTGTAGCTGTTTTCCAAAATTGGATCGCAACACAACACTGATTCAAGCGCCCCAAACTATCACAAGCTCGGGTATTTGTCTCTGGGTCTCCTCCATCATGGGTTTGTGTAAAGAAGTGTCTAAGGCGTGCTTGCAGCTCGGGGCAGAGTTCAACCCACCTTCCAACTCGGCAAAGCCAAGCACCACATCTGAGGCTCTCCCTTGCCTGTCCTTGACTTCCAGAGCTGTAATGGTACAGCCCCAGGAGATGATGTCCACTCTAAGTAGGTCTGACTGCAGCTGAAACTTCTCTACTGTTCCTGCCCCCGACGGCAGATTGCCAAACAGTGCTCTGGTCACCGAAGCCATTGGGGAAACTCCAGTATGCAGCTACTCCCAGTCTTTGAAACTGCTAAAGCCAAGAGCTACACAAGTTCACTGGAGAGGGCGCATGTGACCGGGCTCAGACTCCTCCTCTTCCTTCCCTGGATTTAGGAAGTGACCATTCCTGCATAAAATATCCTATGAGGGCGTTCCAAAACAATCGTTTGCTAGACCAAGACTTGAAGGTAAAATTTCCAGACTAGCATGCAGTTCTTTTCCAAAGTTAACTTTGGCTGCATGGCATGCTGGGAATAGTAGTTTATGGAAAGTGAAATTGCATTATGGGACTCGTAGTCTTTCGTGGTGTGGAGCTGTAGGATAAGCACTATTGCTAAGCTCAAGGTTGGCGGTTCGAACCCACCAGTCGCTCCTCGGAAACCCTATACAGGATATAGGGTCCCTATAAGTCGGAACCGATTACTGTGGTTTAGAGAAGGGGTAAATAATTGCAGACTTCTTGTGCAGGCTGACTGAAGATCCACAGGTTGTTAGTCACACAGGTTGAGACCCTAGGCACATTTCTGCTGGAGCCCCTGCAGTAATCGGGCTGTGAACTGCAAGCTCAGCAGTTCGAAACTACCAGCTGTTCCGCTGGAGAAAGATGAGGCTTTCTGCACCCGTAAAGATTTACACCTAACAACAAAGATTTACAGCCTCGGAAACCTTGTACAGGGTCGCTATGAGTTAGAACCCATTCAATGGCATTTAACAACAAAGTGAGATGTAAGCGTGGTGGCTCCATACGATAAGCACTGGACTGCGAACCACAAAGTCCGTGGTTTGAGCCTGCCAACCTCTCCAGGGGAGAAAGATGAAGCTTTCTGCTCCTGGTAATTGAGTCAGAACAGACTCCATGGCGCTTAACAGAACATGACTTACAAAATGGAAATATTTCATAGGCTTTTCTTGGAGGATAACTGTGGGCCCACCAAAGTTTGGTTCTGTTATACACATAAGATCAGTATATGTTGGAATAAGGCATCTGTCAACAGCAACAATTTTACAGAAGCATATCATCCGGCCTTTCTAAAAACACTAAAAAAAAAATCCCCATACCAAACCCACTGCCTTGAGTCAATTCCAACTCAGAGTGACCCTATAGGATCCTATAGGACAAAGGGTTATGGTACCACTGTGTGTGAGTATGTGTTGTGTATTCTCAAATCGGTTCCAACTCACCTTAGTTACCCACTCTTGTTCCTGATGCCCAAAGTTTCTTTAAGAAGAGATTAAGAGGATAAATATTTATTGAGGTCTTTGTATGTGCCAGGTACTGTATGTTTATTTTTCTCCTGTTCCATAATTGTTGGTAAGTGTTGTTGAGTCTATTCTGACTCATAGCAAGCCTGTATAAAGTTTCCAAGGAGTGGCTGGTGGGTTTGAACCGCTCACCTTGTGGTTAGCAGTGCAGTGCTTATCCTACCACACCCCATCAGGACTCCTCTCCAAAATTAGGAATAAGGTTTTAAATGTGCATTCCTGGGAAAGGAAAGAAGGCATTAGGTCATCAAATCTTTATCATGCTTTAGTGTACCTCAGATTTAGCTGTGATTTTTAAAAAATGCATATTTTCATTCAGGGCCCACCTGGAATTCCTGATTCTATGAGTTCAGGGTGAGACTCGGGAATCAGTATTGTTTTTACAGGTTCCTAGGAGTCTTGGTGTGGCTCTGTGGGTTAATGCACTGGGCTGCAAAGTTGGTTTGAACCTCAAGGTTGGTGGTTCAAGCTCACCAGCTGCTCCTTGGAAATGCTAAATAGGTCCGCTATGGGTCAGAACCGACTTTTAACAACAAGAACAACAGGTCATTCTAATGTCGGTTGTTGTTGTTGTTGTTAAGTGGGACCAAACAATGATTTTTTTTTTGGCTCCAAAACAGGTTCTGATGACAAAGAACTAAGACAAAGTTACTAAGAGCTTTAATAGGATTACTAGAAAAACACAGGAGCCTCTGTATTTCTTGGCTAAATCTGGTAACTCTAGAGGAGTAATGGGCTTAGAAAGAAGGGGGCAGGAACCTAAAGATATGCATTATTCAACGATCTGCATAATTCCCCCATTTTTGCTTGGCACTGTTTTTAGCTTGGTCCTACATACTTCAAAGGGTATCCAACTAGACTGTGTTTAGTGCTGAAATGTATCTATGATTAGGAAATTACATGAATTGGGATCATGTTCCTGAAATCAGAGATTAATAAAACATAGTAACTGTCTCTCAGCCTTTGCTGTCTGAGTAGTTTAAAGGAATATTTAGCATTCTTCTCACGAAGTCTCCATTATCCCTCATGAAGCAGGGAAAATTTTTGATAGCAAAGTAAAAAGAGATCTTACGACAGGCTTCAGTGAAGAACAAAGAACAAAACAACTCAAATTACAGACAGCACTACACTCACACAGTAACCGATAGACACTCTTATATGCTGCTTCATCAGAACTTCTAAAAAAATCTGCAAATCTCATCAGCCCACTTAGCATTTGGGGCTGATTCATACATAACAAGCCTTATGGCAATGCTGTGTTGGCAAAGATATCTTAGAATCTCTTCTGGGAGCAGAAAGACCGCATTTTCTTCTCAGCTGCCAGTTCTCAATGCTCTGCCTACCTAATGCTGCCATAGAGAGAAATAAGTGCACTTGAGTGGCCAATGCCAAGTACTCATATTGCTAAGGGAGGTTTTATTGCCCTGCGTGGTAGGAAATGAAACATACCATGATGTTGCTCAAAGATGTAAGGAGCAAGCAGTTCTTGAATTCATTTTCCTTTCGCTTTGAAGGGTGTAACCTATAGTCTTGAAAGAACTATACCATGTGCTTCAATCAGCTATCTGGTACTCACCTTGATTTTTCTTATCAGAATATCCCATTTTCCTAGTCTCACAGTGATTCATTTTTTTAATTTAAGGTTTCTGTTGTGGATTGAGTGAAAGTTTACAGAGCATATCATCAGTTTTACATTCAACAAATCATATACCTTGTTTCATTACATTGATTATAATCCCCTCCATGTACCATCAGTTAACAGTATTTCTCTCTATCCACTTTA